TCCTGCCCAGGGACATTCCTGCTCTCTCTGTCTGTGATCTCTTACCCAGGATCAATGCTCCTGCTTCTAATGGTGACAAGCCCAACCCCTTGGCCTTGTGTTCAAGGCCCCATTTTAACTTTGTGTCCTCACTGTATCCCAGCTCTATACCTCTTGATCTAATTCCTAATTCCCACTTCCTCCAGGAAGCCCTTCCTGCTTACTCCAGGCCACAGTGAGTTCTCTCTTCTCTGATCCACTCCTACCCTGGTCTTTCATGTCTCATGGGTAGATCTGGGAGCTCCTTGTCCAGCCTAGCCCTGCCTCCCTCACCTGGAGCCCTGCTCCTCTCACTTCAGCCACCTTGAGAATGGGCCTAAAGGTGAGACAAATGTCTGTGGTGCCTACCCACTGCCCCTAGGCCACCCAGAGTCCGAGAAGCCCTCCTGGAAGTGAGAGGAATATAGGTAACCTGGGTTCTCGTGGCTGACAGGTAGGAGTTAGAATTTTGGCTCTGCCACTTTCTGTCTGTGTGCCCTGGAACAAGTTATCTAGCCTCTCTGTACCTTGGTTTGTACCTTTAAGTGGAGGCAAGAACATCCATACCTTGAGGTTGCTGTATAAATTAAACATATTTCTGGCCTGGTGCAGTGGCTTATGCCTGTAATCCCAGCACTTTGGGAGGCCAAGGCGGGTAGATCACCTGAGGTCAGGAGTTCGAGACCAGCCTGGCCAACATGGTAAAACCCCATCTCTACTAATAATACAAAAATTGGCTAGGTGTGGTGGCACACACCTGTAATCCCAGCTACTCCGGAGGCTGAGGCAGGAGAATCACTTGAACCCTGGAGGCGGAGGTTGCAGTGAGCCAAGATCGTGCCATTGCACTTCAGCCTGGGTGACAAAAGCACTTTGTCTCAAAAACAAAACAAAACAAAACAAAACCATATATCCATAAAATCCCTAACACTCAGTCAGTGTTCCGTAAATAGCAGCTTTATGGATAATGACTCCTGAGACTCCCAGGTGAGGAGATGGAGGCCCAGAGAAGGTGGTGTGCCTGAGCTGGAGCTCATTCCGGATAAGAACCTTCCACCAGAACAAGAACTGCATCCTGTACGCTTCCTGGACTCTTCCTGGTGCTTGCTCCAGCCAAACGCCCGCCAGCTCCACTTCCTTCTGTACCTGTATCTCCACTCCAAACCCTCCAGAGGCAAGGCTGGCACTATCCTCACACCAAAGGAAAAAGAGCTCCCTGAACTGCTCCTGATAGGACAGTGGCCTGTCAGCCTCAGCCAGCAATCCATGCGTGTCAGAGACAGGAGCCTTGAAAGTTACAAAGCCACTCCTGTGCATACAGACCTGCCAACACTCTGCCCATGCCCGTCCCTAGACACCCCCACACCTCGTACATGTGGGTGGATGTGACCAGGAATGTGTCTAGAGGCCTGAGATGGGGGATGAGAAGGTGGAACCACAATATGGCCATGCAGTGGGCTGCAGCCCGCTCTGTGCTGGGTGAGGTGGAGAGAAGCCTTCCTCTTGCCCCCCTGGCCAAAGGCCCTCACATGTTGCCCAAATCCTAAGCAGATAAGACATCTTTCTGTGCTGCTTACGAGCATTCAAGAGTACCTGGAGGGCAGCTGGGGACGGGTGTCCTGTGTCCTCTGGGTTTTGGGGACTCGTAACCAGGCTCACTGCTGAGCCAGGCCTGGGGCTGACCCTCCCCCTCCTTCTGCGGCCACTGCCGGCTTCTGCTCCCCCGACACCACTGTGCCCCAGTCTTCCCTCACCCACTGTCTTCAAGGCCTCTCTCCCCCTCCTCCTGCTGCCGCTTCTCCCCTCACCTCTCTACTTTTCTCACCTCCTTCCCTTCTCTCCTCTCGTCCTGCCCGCTGCCATCACGCCACCTTCTCCACCCCTCTCCCATTCCTTCTCTCTATTCCCCTATCCTGTTGCCTATTTCTTTAATCTTTTAAAATGTTCACTTCTCCCCCCTTCTCCTTCTCCCCAGAGGTATTTAATGGCTATTAAATTATTTTAAACTAACTTTCTTTAAAAAAAAAAAACCACACAGCTTGGTGATAGTGCTGACTCAGGGCCATCTCGCTGTTTAATATTGAATATGCAATTAATAGATAGATGTTTAGGTTTGGCTCTCCCCCCACCTCCCCCCACCCCCCACTTTCTGCTGCAAGAAGAATAAAAGAGCTGATTAATCTGGTTCGGGGCGAGTGTCAGCCGCAGGAGATATATGGGGGAAAGCCGATGAGGTTAGCATCTTGGAGTCAGAGAGCTATTGCTTCTGAGGCAAGTTCAGGGAGAGAAAGGTTTGAGTTAGAGCCCAGCACGGCCTTGCTGGGCAGAGGGGATTCCAGACACCCTCTCCAGTGCTGGAGAAAATGGCCTGGACTCTGACCTGCCTGCCCTGCACCAGATGGCGCGTCCTTGTGGCCCTCAGAGGCCTGGGTTGGTGGCCCTTGTTCACGCCATTCTCCCTTCTCCAGCTGTAGGATCTCCCACCTTCAAGACCAGAAGTGCCACCTCCCCTGAGGCCTCTGGCTGCCCCCGCCTGGGGGATCTCCTCTCCGGAACTGCTGCTGGCACCTACTATCCCAGCTTTCCTGCCCATCCGTGACAGCTTCCTTGTGCCACTGCCTCCTGGCCAGGCCGTATGAACAGGAGGCTGCAGGTGGGTCACTGTGTGCCTGGGTGACGGTCTCCAGGAGACACGCCTCCCACTGCTGTGGGCCTCATGTGCCCTGGACGAGGCTGAGCGAGGACGACACTCCTCTCACTGCCAAGGAAGGGACAGGAGCAGGCAGCACAAACCAGGTGGGCTTCGCTCACGTGGGCCCCTCACGCCTGAAGCATCTTTACCCCTCAACCAACTGGACCTTGACTACCAGGGTCCTTAGGACTGGAGCACTCCGTGGGTGTGAGGAGGTGTGTCTGTGCCCTGGGCCGTGGGATCCCTTCAGGCAGCACCAAGACACCAGCCCAAGCCCTAGTGGGTAGGATCTGAGGTCAAGGTTAGGAGGGGCCTGAGTCCTAGAGGCCTTGTGCCTGGGTCAGTGCCCTGCTGGGGCTGGAGGGCAGAGGCCTGACTGAGGGGATGAAGGAGTGTTCTGAGCAGGCCCAGGCCCCAAGGATGAGCAGATCACCAGCGGCCACACCACAGCACCTTCCAGGACAACTGGCTCTCCAAATTTGCAAGTAGCTTTCGCCTACTTGACTTTTTGCCCTTGATTTCCCGGTAAACTTTCTGAGGAAATGAAGGGGAGAGAAATTCCTCAGTTCCTGGCTGATCTAATGAGCAGGGAGAAACCTGGAGCGCTGGGCCTGGGCCAGGGGAGGGTGGTGAACACAGACACTCAGGTCAGAGCCCAGGGCATGGCAGGGTTGGCAGAAGCCAAGAGCTCCTAGCCGGGAGGTGGAGGGCAGCTGTGACCGGCTGTCCCATCTTACTACCTGGACCCTCATACTGGACACCCCAGCCCTGGCGGGGGGAAGGGTAGGCTGGGGCCACTTTGGAGGCTGTACCTAATGTCACCTTCTCAGGGCAACAAAAGGCCCCAACTCCTTACGTTCCCTTGGAGGCCTCATGGGTGTTCTCAATTTTTCTAAACCCTTTCTTGGGCCTCTCCTGTCTCTGGGGGAAGAGCGGCCAAGGTGTCTCCCATTGTGGGAGGAAGCTGGAGGTGGGGAGCCACCGCCTGTCTGTCCTCTGGGAGTGTCCCACTTCTGTATGGCTGTTTGGCTCACTGCCTAGCGGTTCCTCTGTGGGAATTCAGGCTGGGGCCCCCTGCTGGTGGAGAGGACAGAGTCTCTACTTAGGGGTCCTTCACCTGCTCGGAGCCTCTGTTTGGCCCCCTTCCCTGGGGAAGTGCCTGAGAGCTCAGTTCAGAGCAACATCTGGGCAGGGCCCAGTGGGAATGAGGCTCAGTGTGAGTGCCGGGGGGGTCTGGTGATCAGGAAGGACAATGCCTCCCTCCCCAAGGAGGCGGGCCTGGAAGGGGGCACCTGGCAGGAGCCTGCACATTCTTCTACGCTATTGTGCTGATGAGTCTGTTTCTCTCCCACAGGTGAGGTGTGATGGACTCTGTATCATGGGGGCAGTTTGTTGTGGGAGGAGCTAGTGCCTGGGTAAGAGAGGCCTGATCTTGGATGCTGGATGTATTTTCTTTGCCATGTCCTTGCCTTTCATTTTCTTTTAATGTCAGAGTATGTTTGAATCTCATCTAGGAGAGCCTAGGGCCAGGGTTGTGCCTAGGGTTGGCCCTGGTTACTCTGTGACTGGGATGAGGAGGGAGGAACAGTACAGACACACAGGCACTATGCCAAGAGGATGCTGTCACTTGGTGATGGAGCTGCCCCTGGCTGGCCATCTGCCTGGCCCTTCCAGGGGTGAGCCTCAAGGTGTGGCATTCCCTTACCCAGCCTCTCCACGGCCAGTCTCCGGTGGGCTTCACGTTCTGGGACAAGTGTCTGTGGAGTGAGGCTGTGTCCTTCTCCTCTGTCCCTTTCCAGACACCTGTCTGACTGCCTGCCTCTATCTCCAGGATCTCTGCCTCAGCGCTGGCCTTGAGTGCCCACACTCCCATGGGCCACTCAGATTTGCCTCCTGTGGCCTGAATCCTCCTACGGCACAGTTACGACCACTTCCTGTCTCCTTTCTGACTGCACATGCCCCATCACGGTGGGGTTTTCCTTGGCAACACCGAGGGGGGCACACCCTTTTTGGTATTTTAACGGAGGGGAGAAAAATGCCCCGAGACATGGCACTTGTTTACTCAGAGAGGCAGAAACCCCACCGTTTGGAAGACCCCAATCGCCCTCCTTCCCTCATCTCTCCACACCAGTCACCCAGAGCTCCAAAGCTCTGTCCCCAACCCTCAGCCATGAGATCCCCAGAAGGGCAAGAGGAGGAGGCAGGGAGTCGCTGCATCACATTGCTGCATTGGGAAAAGGAGGAAGGAGTGAGAAGGGGAGGGGAGGGGCAGAGACAAGTGGGCCCTCACGTGAAGGGGGCTGGCGCAGGCAGCTACTACCTCCTCGGCTCTCGCTGTCCGCAGGTTTCACCTGGATTGGCCGGTTCATCTGCAACAGAGCACAGGGGGACAGAGTTATAGCAGGCCTGTGGGTGAGGGGCAGACACCCAGCACTCAGGAGCACAGGTGGATGCAGGTACACAGACTGCATCCACAGACACACGCTCCCACACGCTGCCGCAAGCACACACACCTTCACCAAAGCAGTGCCCGTCTCCCCTCAACGGCACAGCCCCATGGCCCCATTCTTTCAGGAGTGTGTCTCTGGACAGGAGACCGGTGCCTCCTCCTCCTACTCCAAGCAGGTCCTGCTAGCCTTTGATAGCAGAATCTCAGGTTGACAGAAATGCTGCCCGTCCCTGTGTCGCACAGGCCTTTGTGTCCCCAAAGTACACCCTTGGCTCAGCCCTGGTTCACTCAAGACATCTGCCTTTATGGAAATGAGCTGTCACTGGCTGCAGATGGACCCCACCCAGGCCAGGGCATCCAGCTTCATCCCAGCACCTACCAGCTGGTAGATGTGGCCTGTGGGTCAGGTGTGGCCAACGCTCTGGGCCATCCAGCTCCAAGGTTAAAGCAGAGTTCAGGGCTGTGGCTCCTGATTGCAACTCGGGCCGTTCTCTCAGGGAGTGTGCAGAGTGGGCACAGCTACTTGTCCCCTATGGTGTCTGGGTGCCAGGGGGACAGGAGAGCAACGCCTGACTCCCCTAGCCTGCCAGCCTGTCTTCCCTCTTGGGGATCTGTGTCAATGGCCCATTCAGGCCACTAGGGGTCTCTGGACTCCAAGCATCCCGGGCTTGGCTGCCTGGCTTCAAGGCTCACCGAGAGGCACCAGGGTGGGCTCTACAGCCCAGAGGTTTCAGCATGTTTTAAGCAATAAACATGAGGAGAATCATGCAAGCGAATTTGGACCTGATGTCTTCACCAGTGTTTCTGCCCTTACGCACCTCCCTGAGCCTTTCTTGCATCTGCATTTCTCTCACAAACTCAGACTCAGAGAGGCAGTGGGGCAGGTACAAACATCGCCATTTAAGAGATGGAGAGGCTGAGGCCAAGAGGCATTCAGGTGCTTCCCAAGGCTACCATGTGGCAGGACACGGCTGGGAAACGGGGCCTGCGGGGAGATTTCTGCATATCTGTCCTGCGCTTTGAGACCTTCTGTTGCCAATTCCCTCCCGTACAGCAACTGGACCAGCCAGTCACAAGCTTCCTCCTGCCTTCTGGTCTAGGACTTGAAGTGAGTTTTGGCTGCATCAAGACAACTGGGTGGGGGAGTATGGGTGCCTGTGACTCAGCAAGGTGAGCACGAGGCCAGGGGAAGGGCAGAGCCGCGGCCGGGAAGGACAGAGATGGGAGGCAGGACGCAGCCGACAAGGAAGGAGGCACAGGTAGCCAGAGGCAGCAGGGGAGGAGGCCGGGGCCAGCCCACCGAGAGGGACCAGGGTGTCGTTGTTCACCACCAGGTCCCCACTTGACATCCCTTATGGAGTTGAGGGGAAGCAAGGTGCTTTGTTCCCAAGTCCTGGCAGCAGAGAACACTGCCGTGTTACAACAAACGCCAATCACAGGAAGAAGGAGGAGGAATGTAATGAAGTTCCTGGCTTCCCTGTGAACCAGCTTCTTTCCAGTCCTTGAGGGAAGGATCCAGAAGGCCACCCAGGCATCTGGCTATGGGAGAGGTGATTCAGGAGGGAGCCAGGTTGCTCCTGGTTCCCTGTCCAGTACTGCTTGGGACTCAGCATCTCACCCTTTCCTAGGCTGCCCTGTCCTCCTGGAATGCCCCGCCCTCCTAGCCTTCCCTTCTCTGAAACCTGCGGCGTTCTTCTCCCCCAAACAGATCTTAAGGACTGACCTGGACCCAGTTCCAGCCCTGATGTTCTCTTGGACAGATTTCTACAGCTTTTCTGCTTATGTAATTTTACAATTCTCTGAGGTAGGGATTATTATATCCATCTTTTCAATGAGAAGAACAAAGCTCTGAGGAGCAGCGGAGCTGGGATTCAGCCAGGATGAGTAGGCACATGAGTGCTACCAATACAATGGCCTTTGGCTTTGTCATATTTTATCTCGTTTGACCTCAGCTGCTCCAGGAGGAGGGGACCAAGGAAGAAGTAAATGGGAAAAATACCCATCCCATAAAGGGAGACCAAGGCCAGGTTCTTTGGGCCAGCAAATCAAGTATCTTTTCTGCCTGACTCCCCTGGCCAAAATCTGGCCCCAACACCTCTTGCACCAGTCCCACCGCACATCCTGGCACCTTCCTCCCCCAGGTCCATTCCCTGGGCCTGCAAGTTCCCTGCTGTCCCTCCCAACCTCCTCCTCTTGACAGTCTATTCATGCTTTGAGCCTAGTCCACTTGGCTTCTGTTATGGACTGAAGTGTGTCCCCCCAAAATTCATATGGTGAAGCCCCAACCCCCAATGTTACTGTATTTGGAAATAGTGCCTTTAAGGAGGTACTTAAGGTTGAATGGAATTATAAGAGTAGGGCCCTCATCCCATATGATTGATGTCCTCACAAGAAGAGGAAGAGACACCCGGAATGTGCAAACAGAGAAGGCCATAGGAGGACACAGCAAGAAGGCTGCCGTCTTCAAGACAGGAAGAGAGCCCTCATCATAAACCAATCCTGCCCACACCTTCATCTTGGACTTCCAACCTCCAGAGCTGTGAGAAATACATTTCCATTGTTTAAGCCATCTGGTCTGTGGTACTTTGCTATGACAGCTCTAACCAACAAATAAGCCCCCTAGTTCATGAAGCCTGATTGGTACCCCATTGGGAAGGGTACTACAAGGAGCTCCACATTTTCCATTAAAAAGGTACACTCAAGGCTGGAATTTGACTTGCAAGTGGGGGTGGAGCTTAGGCAGCCCAGGCCTCCCCAAGGATCCACAACACCGCTGAGAACAGGAACAGTTGCTATACGCATCACATTGCTAGATCATCGCAACTTCTCCTATGATGTATGCAAATAAAGGAAATGGAGTTTCAGATAGGTTAAGAAGTTAGCCTGAGGTCACAAATGTTGTAAATGGTGATATCAGGATGAACCCAGGACTCCTGACATCTGTCTACTCATTTAGGAGATGCTGGGAGCAGGTGGAATGGGCTTGGAATGGTCCAGGAAAGTTCCAAGCAGAGGCCAGGGGGGTGGGGGGAAAAGAGGGGGGCAGGGAGCCAGATGGGGAATTCAGGCTTCCCCTGCAAGGATGGGAGGAAGGCCTGGCTGAGAAGGGGCAGGCAGAAGAATGTGAATCAGAATCTGCTGGGCTTTGCTGCTCTGTCCCAACTGGGAAGTGATGCCATTCCTGGGGCCAGAGCATGCTAGGCAGACCCCACATCCCTAGGGGCCTCATCCTGTGTGGGAGGAAGGCTGGGACCACTGGAGGAGACTTCTTTCCTGGCACCTCGTTTCTGTGTTTTATGGCCAGTCTTCTCTGGTTGTGCCCGAGAGCAGCTGGGGTGAGTCCTGCGGATTGGCATGGCCAGGGTAGAGCTATTTCTGATATGATGGGTCCCATTTTCCATGGTAAATTAAACTAGGCAAATGAAATCTCCCTGTGTGTGCAGGCTTCTGCCCTAGAGGCCACCCCAGTTGCAGGCAGCCAGCCCACTGTCCTTGGTACCTGGGCGCCTGTTATGCTTTGGCCTAGCATCCCTGCCCCAGGAGCCCTCCCAACCGGACAGTCCCTGCATGGTGCAGGCAGACCTCCTCCATGGTGTGCTGTTGGGCTCACCCCTCACACACAGGCCCCTCTGCTTCTCTCCAGTTTTACTGTGGGCTTTCTGACAGCAGGAACATGGGGGCTTATCCAGCCTCCCAGCTGCCTTCAGCCATGGGCTAGGCACCTACGGGGTGCTCTAAACAGATTGGTAAAGGAGAATTGAATTGGTTCCCATGCAGCCATGGCTCCTGGGGTCATTTTTCATGTCCCATTATAATCTGATGGTGGTCAGCATCCAGACAGCCTTTGGGGGGCTTGTCAGAGAGGTGCCGGGCTAGATGGTGAGATAATATACGACCCTGTGCTTTCTTAATTCTCAGCAGAAATAAAGTGTCAGGCTTGGTTGGGAAGATTTCTCAGCTGGAGCAGGCTGTGTATAGGTGGCCCCAGCCTGAAGGGAAACCTCCCTCCCTCCCCTAGTCCTCGGCCAGCCTCACCCAGCCCTGATTCTGCCCTGAAGAGGGAGGACAGAGCACATCTGTCCTGGGAGAGGAGCGTGGGCCAGGCAACAGAGATGGGGAGAGAACGAGGCAGAGCACGATGACAGAGCAAGGGGAGAGGTGAAGAGAATGCCAGAGAGGGCAAGGGTGAAGGAGAGCAGAGGGGTCAGGGCAAGAGCCAGGAGAGGAGGGAAGAGCCAAGAGCGAGACCAGGAGGAAGACTGAAGGCCAGGTGCCATCTCCTTGCCCTTCTTGCAACTTTGCCCCCTGGGACCCTGGCCATTGCCTCAGGACCCCTTTGGTGCTTTTCCTGCCCCCGTCTCTGCTCCTCTGTCAGCCATTCCTCTCCACTAGCACGTTGTCCTCCCCGCAGGGCCCTGGGGCTTGTGGCTGCTGGGAATCCGGGCTGGGGCACAGGAGCCTTCCCTGCCGATTCTCTTTCAGAGATGTCCTCAGTGTCCCCATGGATGCCCCATGGCCTTCAGTTGGTGTCCTCCTCCAGGTGCCCGAAGGGGGTTTGGTGAGCCAGACCTGCCTTCCCTGGGTCAGGAACAGCTACCTGCAGCTTCTCTGGAGGCTCCTGGGGTCGGTCCTCTGGGGACATCACAAACCCTTGTGGACTGTGTTTCTACTTCCAGCCGAGCACCCCTCTGGGGAAACGAGTGGGCCTGGCCCAGACCTAAAGCTGTTTCTGCTTCCGCCTGTGGCGGGCGTGGGCCGGTGAATGCCCCTTTCCTCTTCCACTCAGGCTCTGCCTCCCTTCCCCCTCCCCATCCCTCTGCCACTTTTTGCATCAACACATATCCATGCATTAAACAAGACATTCCATTAATTTCTTCATCATCATAACTTAAGCTGGGACATACCCTTTAAATATTCATT